TCTTTGGTTTAGCACTTCGGTTGCTTCATTTTACATAATGCCACCTAACTTAATTCAGAAGAGAATTTCTAAATATTAACAGAGAGGTAATTTTAGAAATTTAATTAGTGATCCCTCCCACACCACTGATTAAGTTTGGGCTTTGCATCATTGATTTTCAAAATATATATATATATATCTAAAATTCCATGAGCTAAAATGACTATGTAAATAAATAAAATTATTTGTTCATTATAGCATCTCTATATGGAATATACTTCTCTTAAAATAAGTCAGGTTTCTCTCTGTTATTTGTTAATAAAATCGGGTTCTGGAGCTATGTCTATGGGCAGTTTTAAATTGAATATTTCTTTCCAAAGCTGCATGGTATTTTATTGAGGACTTATAATGTTACCTGGGAGATGCTGGATAAAAACATGAAAAATTTTATATTCTTTGGGATATTGAGGACATATAAATGTTTTCACATTTTCTTGAGCTATAAGCACTTTAGGTAGACAGTAACTCAATTTTTAATTCCTTTTATTAAAAAGAAATATTTTGAGCTTAGAAAGTTGAAAAATAATTACCCTATGGACATGTTAAGAAAGTGGAGATTATAATGTTGTTCCTAGATTGCCATTCAAAAGACAAAAAAGAGAAAGAATAGATTACATTATTCCTTTTATACATTCAAAAAATATTTATTGAGTATCCACTAAGTATTAGGCTATGTGCTAGCAATTGCAGATTCAATAATGATTAAAAACAGACTTGATTTCTATGGTTAGGGAACACATGGTATAGTGGGGGAGAATGGCACTAATAAGCTAATCATATAAATCAACACAAAACTGCAGATAGTGTACATTTTTTGAAAGAAAAATTATGTCTTATTCTGTGAGTACTTTGGTTTACAGGAATGGCATTGAATTATCCTGTAAGTAAAAACAAAACAAAACAAAACAAAACAAACCTGAGCAAGGAAACTTCTCGGAACTGGAGAAATGAGAGGGAGCTTGTTGAATGATGGCATTTACCTTAATCTTAAATTTACCTTTATCCTAAAAGTAATATAAACAAGCTTTGAAGGACTTTAAGTAAGTGAATCTAGAGGATGGATGGAATTAAATTTGTTTTGAAAATATGTGTAGCCTGAAGGATAGATTAATGGAAGAAAGTTTGGATATAGGCAGACCAGTCAAAAAGTTCTGTAAGTTCAAAGAAGGGGTCTTATTACACAGACTGGGCTGTTCATGATGAAGAAGAAATAACAAGAAAATCAACAGAATTTGGTAGTGGATTGTATATATGGAAACCATAGAAGTAGATAAGAAATTATAATATCAATGTTAAGGTAGATAGAGAAAAAAATAATAACTACTCAGATTGTGGTGTGAAACTTCTCCAGTGTTAGTGCCAATGAGATAAGCACCCTGCAATGTGAATAAACAATCTTCAATATTGATATTCTTAAACCTACAAGGATTCCAAATATCAGCACCCTTTTCCCGGCTCATTACAATGCTGCTTTGCTGTCTACAGAAGTCTCCTTTCTGCAGTATCCATTTGTAATTTTTGTCTCGGAATTCTCAATTGAGTTAAGTCTACTCCTGTAGAAGGTATTTCACTGCCTGAGTGAAAAGCCTTCCTAATTTGAAGGACATCACTTAGGACTTAACATTCATAAGGGGACTGACATTTCACCAGGGAAAGATAACCCTTGAATGCTGAAGATTTCAGGTTGCTAGGCAACCCAGCCAAGTAGACCAGAAACCCTTAGGAAATAGATTGTATGTCTTAACCTGCTCAAATGGTCACATTTCCAATCATGACCTGAAAGCTATATATGTTTTTAAAGAAATTCTCTTTGTAACTTATTCTATGTTCCTTCTTAGCCAATAATGAGGAATTCTGATTGGAAATGTGAATCTACTTACAAACACTAGGAAAGTAACATATTGACTTAAATAGCTTTTCCAATATTTGAATCAACTTAAATTTGTAATTGAGATTCTCTTATCCTTTTAGTAATTGCTACCTAAATGATTTAAGGAATGATCTCAATTATTCTTATTCATATCATTTGAATGATCTATTTTCCAAACAGTCAAAAGTAGGCCCTCAACAATTTTTGTATGAATGGTCTGGGTAATGAAGAACTGTCCATGAATTCACAGACAAATTTCCACATTTATTTTGAAGTTGTTCAGTTTGACTTTTCCTCTCAAGACAAAGCCTCTTACAAAATCAAAGAAAATAATAAAACTGTCAGATGTCAAATTGCTTTCATGTCAACCCATTCCCCAGTGTCCTTTTTCCCGAGTTTTGATTTCTTCTAAGAAAAAACTGAAGTATAAATTCAAAACAGAAAAGCTAAATTCTTATTGTAAGGTCTTCAACTATTTATGTAAATATATAGAAATAAGTGTGTACTTTAGGTACAAACATTTTTTCCATTTGTCCCCCTTAAAAGAATAAGATGGAAGCAATTCTATTTATCCCAGATTTTTTATATCTGTTTCTTCATCTGAGAACACCCACCTCTGACAGTGTTGTTGAAAATGTCACTCCCAATATGATAGTTTCATTATTTTATCCATTGTCTGTGGGCTGGACAAACTAAACCTATTCTAAGTTTAAACAAACTTCAGCCTAGAATCTTAGAGAAACCACCGTTTTATAGTACAAAAAAATCTAATGAAAGATCTTAAGATATAAAAATCACAAGGCCAATGATATTGACATTGAAATCCTAATATGCCTTTATTTTTTAATATATATTTTTATTGATTTTAGAGAGGAAGGGAGAGGGAGAGATAGGAACGTCAGTGATGAGAGAGAATCACAGATTGGCTGCCTCCTGCATGCCCTCTTCTGGGGATCAAGCCTGCAAACCAAGCATGTACCCTGACTGAGAATCAAACCCTAATCTCCTGGTTCATAGGTCAACACCCAGTGAGTGAGCCATGCAGGCCAGACATGCCTTTACTTTTACATCAACTTTGATCCCATATTTTGAATCTTATGTGAATTTTTTTTTGCTTTTATTTGTTTCGTAAAGTTTTTTGTTTTTGTTTTATTTTGTTTTAGTAGCACTTGACTTTCTGTAATTTTTTTTTTATATTGTTGTGTTGGATGTCTATTTATTTTTTGTTTTACTTTTGAACCAAATGCTGGACTTATATATGTAGTATAATAAGGTTTATACATTACAGATGGGAAATTTATATATGGAAACTAGAGGCCCTGTGCACAAAATTCATGCGTTGGAAGGGGGGGTCCCTCAGCCCGGCCTGCACTATCTCCAATCCGGGATCCCTCTCTCAATCCGGAACCACTGGCTCTTAACTGCTCACCTGTCTGCCTGCCTGATAGCCCTAACTGCTCCACTGCCAGCCTGATCACCCTAACTGCTCTCCCCTCCTGGCCTGATCCCCCTAACTGCCTAACTGCTCTCTCCTGCCAGCCTGATCCCCCTAACTGATCTCCCCTCCTGGCCTGATCGCCCTAATTGTCTAACTGCTCCTCTCTGCCAGACTGATACCCCTAACTGCCTATCTGCTCTCCCTTCCTCTCCGCGCCCTTCGGACCCCCAGCTCAGGCATGCTAAGAGCTCTCCGCCGCGGTCCAGCCCCTGTCCTGATTAGTCATTACGTGACAGCGTCCTGGCCAATTTGCATATTTCTCTATTATTAGTATAGATATGGAACAATTCGCTATTATTGTGATTATAATTATAAATGAATAACAGTAGTAGCTACTGTTGCTTTTTCTAACACAGATTCTATGCTTTCCCTATTTCCTAAAATGGACTCCAACTGAAGATGATGATGACAATTCACCTGAATAACCATTTTCACTATGAGCTAGTGTTTGGATGTGCTCTTACTCTAAAATGGGCATTACTGTAATTATTCTGCATGCACTGTCTATTTTAGCTTCAAATTAATAATAATTGAATAGGTATTCTCATGCTGGATTTACACATGGAGAAATGGGAGTTCAGGGAGCCTAAATGAATTGCCCTGAAGTCACCCAGGGGTAAATGGCAGAGTTTGAAATCAATTCAGGTATGCCAAGTGCAACAGCTCATGTAACTGACCATGAACTTGCATGATCTCCCTCTGTTTTCATCTCCTGTATCCTATTTTTCAAATAGGTCCAGGAGCAGGGTCTGTGATAGTCCAGTCTATACCAGTGGAATGTCCAAAATGGAGTCAAAATCCCTTCGGAGGCTTTGCTTCACCCGTCTCGAGAGTCCCCCTGTATCCTACGTGGCAAGACTCATCAGTGTCATGGGCTTAGGAAACCCTTTCTAGCATATCTTTCTGTTCTTAAATATTTCACAAGAGGACAGAGCCATCCCAGAGAGAGAGCAGGGAAGACAGTGAGTGAATAACCTATATTTTATTAATTTTAATCTGTATTATGTAAGTATTCATAAGTACTTTAGGGAAAAAATACACATAGAAGCCAAAAGAAAATACATTTTTAAATCATGTATAATGCTCTCTTTCTAGTCTATTCATTTTCATCTAATATCTTTAATGTAGTTATAATGCTCATTGCCCTCTGGAAATGTACTAGTCTACTCCCACAAGCAATATATGAAGATGTTCATTTTTCAACACTTCACCCAAACTAGGCCTGGTTAATGGTATATTTTAAAACTATTTTATAGCAAGATACTTATGGGTATAAAGGAAAATTTAATATTGTGTTAGTGTTGAGATTATTCCATTTGAGTAAAGAAATAAGGCACGTTACTCACTGTCTGATGAAAGATAGATTTACTAAGAAATATTAAATTTTGGTAGATTATCATAAATGTTTGCTCTCTCAAAACATTCTTAGATTACAGTTTCTAATAGCATCAGAAACTTCAGTTTTAATGACTTGAATGACATTTATTAACTTTCCTATTCTTAGTGAAAAATAAACCAGCATCATTTCATCGCCAAAAAAATAATTAATCTGCACCACAGTTCCTCTTTTGTGAGTCATCAAATGCCACCTACCTGTGACAAGTTTCTGAGCCAGTAGAAGGGATTTTCCATCCTCTGCAATGGCTTGCTGACAAAAAAATGAAAAAAAAATTATAAAGTACACAAGTTAGTTTTACTTTCTCAAACATGGGATTTTATTTATTTAAAAGGTGGCTTATACTTGAAAAAGCTACATAAGAAATCTGTATCTTTGCTTTCTTTTCATACATATGGATCTATATCTATGATTAAAAGCCAGGCCAGATATTTCGCCTCAAAAGAGAAAAAGAAAAAGTCCACTCATGTAGTGTTTGAGTATTAATCAGTTGCTCAAGGGCAGTGAAAGAGTAAAAATGTTCTGTACCATGCACAAGGAAAACTATAATCTAATCTCAGTTTTCCTACATGTTCATGGATGATGCATATTCTGCCTCAGGCTCATCTACGTACCCAAGATCAGCACCAATATGTTCTTTGCCTAATTTGGCTTTGAGTCACTGCCATGAGATTATCCACAGTTTAGAACAAAATGATTCTATTTTAGAATTCTGAGTAGCACTTTATTTTGATTTAAGATTCCATTTTTAGCATCCATTGGAACACTTTTGCCCTAACTGTTAATTTAAGAAAAGTTAAAGTCCTCAAATAAAACAACAATGCCAAGAGAAAGAATGTAAGGTACAAAGCTAAATGGAGGCTCCACCTCCCTGCACAGCATCACTTCATAGAGGTTTCTTATTCCGATGCCAGTGAGGATCCAGTTTAGGATTGGCTAAGGCTGAAAAAGGGAGTGATGTGGTTTATTTTGGTATGTCCTCTCTGGAAATTTCCTTCTTTTTTTATCCTTTTAAAAAAATCATTACAATTGGATACCTAGGGAGTTTTCTAATTCATTCTAAAATGATGTTTTGATATATCAGATTTCATGAGATATATCCTCATATCTTTGAGATAGAATCCCACCTAAATTCTATATATCAGAGAAAACTCAGATAGCCTTCCTCATAGGCATTTCTCCCTTTTAAAATTAGCTAGTAGAAATGCTTTAGGACCTACTGATAAGAAATGAGGCTGATGTAAAATAATGTGAAAGGGAATCACACATGTGACCTCATTGTACTGTTACTTATCAATTGGCTATTTAGTTGGACAACTGGGTGGATACAGTCAAGCATCAAGATCATGATAGGGATCAAAATTATTCCAAGCAGATCATAGAGTAGAAAGCCTTACAGTCAAGAAGGCCTCGGTCCCAATTCCAGACTTTACTAACTGTACAATGGTTGTCTAATTCCAGAACCCATCTGGGACTCTGTTTTATAGTTTGCAAATGGAAGGGGCTTTTGTAGAGATGAGTGTGCTACCAGGCATTAAAGTAGGTAGCACAGTATCTAGCACAAAAGGGAGGCACAATAATTATTTGTTGAGAAATGAGTGATCAATTCCCAGGAACCCAAGAATTAGCGAAGTCTTCTTTTTATTCTACTGAAGATGAACTCACCACCAGGATAGTTTTGTTCTTTTTGAAGTTACGTTGATATTTTTTCCCTTCTTTTCTTACTTTTTAAAGAAACTTTAAGTTTGGATGCCTATCTATTGAATGTTTCTCAAAATTGATGCCTAAAATTATCTTTTCCTTTCACCTCATTTATGTCAAACTATTAAAGAAAAACAACCCAAAATACAAATATTTTGGCCTCACTGTTATTGGATGAGCCCAGATGCTTCTCTTTTTTCTTCCTAATTAACTGCCTAAGCAGTCCTTTCTTCCTTGAGAATAACCATAATTTTAAGTATTATCAGTGTATCTTAAATCCTTCTACTCCTGAAGAGATGAGAAAGTTTCTGACACCATGTGACCTTCCTTAAGCTAGAGAAGGTACATGGTGGCAAAAAAAAAAGTACTTTTGTGTATACTTTTTTTTTCCTTTTTTGGTATGCTAGTGTTCTCCCAAAACATATCTGGTAGTCATATCTCTCAGGTGCAATAGCAAGTCACATTAGTTGGCTCACTAAACACACATTTCAAAGCTCCTTCCCTTGCCTCCCTTTATTGTCATTCTAGACTTCCTCAAACCTAGAGGTGACACAGCTCTGGTCCACGAGGTATTGGTATGAGGTTGCTGGACAACCTCTCCTCTTTTTCCTTCTTCATTCCTGTAACTCAAACTATATCCCCAGAGAAGCAACAACCATCATACATCCAGAAGGACCAAAAAATACAGAGTTAGGACAATAGGAGTTAAGTCAGCCTGAGTTCTTGCTGATGTTATTAAGACATGTACATTCACAGCTTGGTTATCTTGTGATGAACATAAAGCCCTTACTTCTTTAAGCTACCACAAGAGGGATTTTCTGTACTTGCACTGGAATGCATCGTGGTATAAGGTCTGACTTCTAATCCTCTCTCTGAAATGATTTCCTGCATGTCCCAAGTCAGATATGTTGTCTCCGATGTTCCTACATAACTTTGGCCATGTAGTTTAACAATAAGAAAGTTTTCCTTGAAGCGCAAAGCAAAAAGTACACAAATCAAAAGATATAATTGATGGCCTATTACAGAGTGAGCACAAACTTGGAATGAAGTCAAGAAATAAAACATTCGCAGAAACCCAGAGTGCCCCCTTGTGCCCCCTCCTAGTCACTACCCTCCCCTTCTCCAAAAGTAACCAGTACCTTAACTGCCGCCACCATAGTTTAGTCTTTCCTGTTTCAAACTTACATAAATATTATACACATGGTATATATTTTTTGTGTCCAGTGTCTTTAGAAAAATATTATATTTGTTAAATTCCCTCAGGTTGTTTTATCTAGCAATAATTCATTCATCTTAATTGTTGTTTAGCTTTGCATTGTATACATATACTAAAATTTATTTATCCAATCTACTGCTGATGAATATTAGACTGTTTCCAGACCGTGGTAATTAAGAGGAATACTTCTATAAACACTTGTGCATGGCTTTCAGTGCACATATGTAGAGTTTTCTGTTAAGTGTATACCTAGGAGAGGGATTGCTGGGTTATATGGTGCGTATGTCAACTTTGAGGGTAATAACAAGCACTTTGTACAAGTGGGCTCCTACCAGTCGTGCACGATAATTCTGGCAGCTCTACATCTGTACCAATAGTTGGTATCTCAGTCAATTTTATTTTAGTCTTTCTTGTGGGTATGAAGTTACATTTCATAATAGTTTTAACTTTGACTTTCCCTAACTACAAATAAGAGTCAAAATATTTCTTATATATCTTAATTATTTGGAAACCTTTCTTTGTGTGTATCAAGTAACTGTTCAAGATTTTTGCCTTCTTAAGAGAGTATAAATGAGCTGTCTTTTTCTTGTTGATTTGGAGAAGTGATTATATATTCTGGATATGAACCCTTTCAATTATCTGTAATATAATTTCTTCCACTTTGTGACCTACATTTTCACTTTGTTAATAATGATCCCAATTTTAAGGTAGTCTAACTTACTAATGCTCTTTTATGTTTAATATTTGTATTCTATTTAGGAAATAATTTATTATATCAAGGTCTGAAGTTTATTTTCTAGGAACCTTTTGATTTTACTATTCACATTGAGATCTACAATAATCCTAAACTGATGTTTGTGTATAGGGTCAAGATAAATTTTCAAAAATGTAATATCCATGTATCATGGTTTCTTTATGATACAATACGTGACATCTTAAATTTGAGGCAATATTCTAAGAATTCATGTTATTTGCAATGGCAAAATACAGCACAGCATACTAAAACTGATAAAAAAATGTTGTGATGATAGAAGTGATATATTTAAAAGAGACACATTAAGTTTTTAAACTATTAGAGAAGGATAAGAAATGACTTCAAAAATTAGAATGACAATAAATTATATATATCAATATGAATTCATGATTTTCAATAAATGTTCCCAGTTTTATTACCTAATTCAGTTTACAGTACTAGGACACAAAATGTTGATCCCTAATACTATTATTCACTAACGTGAATGGACTCCATTGTTTAGGACAGGGAAATACAAAATGTGCCTAGAATATCCTGCTCTTAGAGAGCAAGAGTGCTTTCAAAAATATCTGGAATAGCCAGCCAGTGTGGCTCAGTGATTAAGCATTGATGAATCAGGAGTTCACAGTTCAATTCCCAATTAGGGCACATCAATGATTGCCCTAGGAGGCAGCTGATCAATGATTCTTTTTCATCATTGATATTTCTCTCCCTCTTCCTTCCTCTCTGAAATCTTAAATCTTTTAAAAATATCCGGACTAGCCCAGCTGATTTGGCTCAGTGGATAGAGTGTCAGCCTGTGGACAGAAGGGTCCCAGGTTCAATTCTGGGTTCCATTCCGACCAAGGGCACATGCCTAGGTTTCATCCTCAATCCCCAGTAGGGGCTGTGCAGATTGCATCTGATCAATGATTCTTTCTCATCATTGATATTTTTATCTCTCACTCACTCCCTCTCTCCTTTCTTCCCTGAAATAAATAAAAATATATTTAAAAAATATATATCAGGAATAGTGCTAAAAAGAACAAGAGTCCCAGATAAAAAGATAAGATAAAAAATAATTAGACTTCAATGAAGAAAACTGTGCCTTTAAAGTGCCATGGGTCTATAATATTACTCAAAAGAAATATAATATAGATTATATACTAAATTCATGAATTTAAAAATATTTTAATGTTCAATATGGATAAGCCCAAATTATTTAAATACCATGTCTTCAAGTTTTTATCATTGCTTAAGTTGACTATCAAAAATATTAATATATGTTAAATAGTATGTATATTACATATATTATGTATTATTTATATAAATATGTTTCTGTATCAATACACATAGCATATAAATATTAACATATATATATATATATATATATATATATATATATATATATATCCAGAATTAACCAAACTAGGCTTCTATTTTTGTCAATTGTAGATAAAGTTTTATTAAAATAAACTGGGTATCCAGGAATTTAAAAGAGTAGGAAGAAATAAAATACAAGGAGAAATTAATTTGAAGACTAAACATTATTTAAATCAGAGATTTTCAAAATGCAGTCCTTCAACCAGTAGCATCAACATC